AGTTTTCATATCTTAAAATCGATACTTTGTAGTATGCAGTGAAATATTTTGTACACATTATAAGTTAGAGCACACAAAGCACATCAGTAAGTATTCTGTTTTCTAGATATTTCACAGTGTATAGTAATGTGATTGTAAATAAGAAATCTGCAGAACGGCAATTGGACTGTAGAAGTTATAGGTATCAATCACTCCAATGTATTCATAATTCTAAATTTGATTTATGCTTACATAGAAGAAATTAGGTGTGCACATGAAGATGAAGAACGTGCTACCAAAATTTTTATTTGAAGGATAAAACAGAAAAAGTAGACGATTTGGGTACAAGCCCTTTTTCAATGCAAATGTCAAAGGACATTTGGGGGCTGGGGGAGGAGCGAATGAGACACATGGGGGGCTGGAGGGGAGAAGGAGACACATGAGGGGGGCCCCAGGGCAATTTTCGCATCGTCACCCAGTGGTTTCTAGAGAGAATGTACACTATATGTCTATGAATTATGTTTACTGTCTTAGGAATTATGTTTACTGCCACAAGAAAGCACACAACTTTTGTTAGTCAAGAAAGTGATTATTCCCTACATCTGATACAGACAGTTTAAAGGAATTCTGGTGATATTTACAGTAGATGACCTATTTGTTTTCATTGAAATACAGAATATTAATTTTTGTTGACGCTGATTACTTACAGTACAGATATTTAAACAGGCATTTAACCTGTAGCTTGTACCTATTATGAAAGTGTTACAAGAATATTGAGGGGAAAATGTAAGTTTAAAGAAATTGAGAATATATATTTAAGGACCAAACTTCTGGAATAAAAGGGAATCATGACATGCCACACATGTCATGTGTCCTTAAGGGGTTAATTCTTCTTACCCCAGGCCTTCTTCGTCTTTTGTGGGACAGTATTCAATCCACATGGCAAAATGGAGAATAAAGCACCCCAGCCGAGTTAGATCATTTTTCCATATCAGCCGTTCTTATACAAATTATTCTTTAATTCACAATTTAGAGTTTAGTAAATAAATGCCCTAGGTATATTTACAAGTTAATTGAATTTGTTTACTGTCTTATTCATTGCAATCTGGAAATAGAAAATAGGGAAAACAGCTGCCAAATTTAATCCTTTTGCAATCATGTGCATTGTAACGCCCAGCTCCAATCATAGCACATAGCCAATCCCTGCACTGCGAGTTTCAACAAGTTGGATACTTTAATAACCACATTTAGAATTGCAACACTGTATAACTATGAAAAGTGACTTGGTACAATCCTAATATCCCTAAAGTCGTGTTAGCTAACCTGTAATTTTCTATTTTATTGAATTCCAGTATGCCCTTCAAAGAAATGAAGGGGCTGTTTTCTAGCAGCAATCACCATTATTGACTTTCAACCATTTGTGTCAAAATCATAATTCTGTACAGAGGGATTTATTTTGCATAAATTTAGGATTTCTTCACGAGACACTGACTTGTAATGAACTAAAAAAAACAAATTGTAACATTTAGGCTACAATAACTATTTATGTTTCCTTTCAAAGTTTAATGAATGAACCCCACAGAAACTGTACTAGGCTGGTAAGAATTTAAAGGGACACTATAGTCACCAAGACAACTTTAGCTTAATGAAACAGGTTTTGGTGTATGGATAATGCTCCCACAGTCTCACTGCTCAATTCTCTGCCATCTAGGAGTTAAATCACTTTGTTTATCCAGCCCTTGTTACACCTCCCCGCACGTGACTTACACAGTCTTTCTAAATACTTGTATAGAGAGATCTAATGTTTACACTTCCTTTATTGCATATTCTGTTTAATTTAGAATGTGTCATCTCCTGCTCTGTTAATAACCTTCTAGACCTTACAGGAGCATTCTGTGTGTGATTAAAGTTCAATTTACAGAGCAGAAGATTAAAACTTTGAAAGCAAGTTAACAACTAATTGAAAATTATTTTTTCCCCTTTTTTTATGAAAGCTGTGTGAGTCTCAAACCAGAGCCAGGGAAGGGGGAATCCTTATTGTTGATAGTCCAAGAAGAGTATTGTTGATAGTCCAAGAAGAGTAGCTTCCCTGGTGATTCAGCCTATATGTTCTTACAAGCTTCGGTGTTTGGAACATGGTTGTGATAACAAACAGCAACTCTCTAGACACCCAAACTCACATGGCACTTTCCAGGTTTAAAGATAGCAACTGCGGTGGCCATCTTTAGCAAACTATCGTGGAGACTGGCCCACACAGAGGGGACCCAAACCCTGCGGCAGATGGAAACTGAACCCCAGGGCAAAATGTACAGCAGTACTGGGCCCCTGTAAGTTATGGGGTCCAGGGAAGCTGCCCCTCTTGCCCTACGGTTAAGATGGCCCTGTCCCTGACTCCAAGATGCTAAGCCAGGTAATTGGCTGTCTGAGAAAGACAGGAAGGAAAAGTGTTATAGGCTCATGCTATGTGATAGAAATACCAGGAGCTGGCCCCTCCTTAAACCAGCCCTATGGTCATGCCCAAAGTTCAACGTTAAACTCTAGTATGTTCTATAAATCACATTGTGACACCATATCTTTGATTTAATTCAAAGTATTACATGAATTTTCATTTATAAAAGCCGCGATTGCTGTATTAACCCATGTGCTGTACAATTATGATGCATTAAAGTGGCACTGTCACAAATTATATAATTTAAGCTGTTATTCCTCTCTACATATTATAGGGGACCTAGGGGGTAACAACGAAATGGTGTACAGAATAAGACCCAGAACTTTTCAAGACTCCACTCTGGGCTCCAGCAATGGTCAGCCCTTCCCTGCCTCCCCCCCCAGAAATTCCCCCTAAGTTTGATGCCATGTTTATATCTTGTGTCTGATCAGCTACCACAGCATACAGTGAGGGGAAAAAGTATTTAATCCCCTGCTGATTTTGAACGTTTGTCCACTGACAAAGAAATGATCTGTCTATAATTTTAATGGTAGGTGTATTTTAACAGTGAGAGACAGAATAACAAAAACCAAAATGCAGAAAAACGCCAATGTCAAAAAAGTTATAAATTGATTTGCATGTCACTGAGTGAAATAAGTATTTGATCCCCTATCAATCAGCAAGATTTCTGTCTCTCAGGTGTCTTTTATACAGGTAACGAGCTGAGTGTCACAGCACACCGGGAGAGGCTGATGCGCTGCACTCACTCACCAGACGCCACATGAATTTCGGCGTCCATAGAATGGGGGACGCACTAGACCCTCCTCCTGGCCACCAGTTCACACTGCACTCTCTCCTAACCCCCTGCCTCCATGTGGGTTGCGACATGCAGGGGAAGGCAGGCATGCCCTATTTGCCTTTATGCCTACCTCTCCTCCTGTGGGCATGTTGGGTCATGTGTTCTCCATGCTCCTCCGTCATCTCCTCAGGGTGACAAAGCCCTGGGGAATCCAGTTTAGCAAGCATGGAAGCAGCATGGACGTTTTCAAGTTAACTGGACAAACTGACATAGCGTCCTGCCCACATAGTTACCCAGAGAAGCCTTCCACTTTTATAAGCCCTTAGACCCCTCACAGACCCACGCTAGGGTCCGTGCTCAGTTGTTTTGTTGTTCCCCTGGAGTACAGAGCCAGATCCTGACTGAAGTGAGTTGATTACCCTCGCCTGTGGATTACCTGAATCAACTCTTGTCTGCCTGAATCCTGCCTTGAGTCTTTGTTAACCCCTGCAAAACTGTTTCAATTTTTTTTAACCCCTGCAATGTTGTTTCAACCCTGGTTAGCCCCTGCAATGCTGTCCCAGCTTTGATTTATCTCCTGCAATTCTACTACAACTTCAATCAAGCCTTTCATCATTTGCCAAGTGCTGAAACTCTGGTAAAAGACTTTATTTTTCATTGAAGCCTTTTTTTTAATGAAGGAATTGCTTGGTTTACTGTTTATATTTGCATTGGGACTTGCATCATAGTCATTTGTTTTTTCAATAATGAAACCTTTTAAAATTCAGTGAATGTGCCCAAAATCTCTGCATACCGAGCCCATTCACCCAAAACCCGTGACACTAAGATTAGGAGCACTCTCTTAAGGGGAGTGCTCCTAATCTCAGCTCCTTACCTGTGTAAAAGAGGAGTACTGGGTGAAAGTGTTGTGGTCAGATGAGACCAAAATCGTGCTCTTTGGCATTAACTCAATTCACCCTGTTTGGGGGAGGAGGAATGCTGCTTATGACCCCAAGAACATCATCTCCACTGTCAAACATGGAGGTGGAAACATTATGCTTTGGGGGTGTTTTTCTGCTAAGGGGACAGGACAACTGCACCGCATCAAAGGGACGATGGATGGGGTCATGTACCGTCAAATCTTGGGTGAGAACATTCTTCCCTCAGCCATGGCATTGAACATGAGTTGTAGATGGGTATTCCAGCATGACAATGACCCAAAACACACAGCCAAGGCAACAGAGGAGTGGCTCAAGAAGAAGCACATTAAGGTCCTGGAGTGGCCTAGCCAGTCTCCAGTCTCATAGAAAATCTGTGGAGGGAGCGGAAGCTTTGAGTTGCTAAACGTCAGCCTCAAAACCTTAATTACTGTGAGAGGACCTGCAAATAGGAGTGGGACAAAATCCCTCCTGAGATGTGTGCAAACCTGGTGGCCAACTACAAGAAACGTTTGACCTCTGTGATTGCCAACAAGGGTTTTGCCACCAAGTCGAAGGGATCAAATATTTATTTCATTCATTGACATGAAAATGTTCTGGATTTTGTTTTTGTTATTCTGTCTCTCGTTAAAATACACTTACCATTAAAATTATAGACTGATCATTTCTTTGGCAGTGGGCAAACGTTCAAAATCAGCAGGGGATCAAATACTTTTTTGCCTCACTGTATCTCAGTTGACATCACACGTGTATGGCATTGAAAGAATTTTAATGATTTGTCCACATGATTGCTTGGTCAGTTTGCACTTCAAGAAAACATTGTTTTGTCCATCCATGGTAATGTTCATTAGCTTCTCTGTAAAGTGTCCTTATAAACTCAAACAGCATGGCTGTAAAATGAAGTCATTCGGCTGGAACCCATTAACGGGGAAAAGGTGACACCTGCTGGTAACAGTGGGAATGAGCTGGAATGAGTAGAAATAAGGGGGAAAGCAGTATGGTGGCTCGAACTATGGTTTATATGGGACATGTGTGTTGTAAAAGAGTAGGAATGGAATGGTGAACTAAACTGAATACTAGGGCTCGTTGGACAGGGCTGTGTGTTGCACATTCTTCCTTCAAGACTCCCATTAGGCTGCTGCTTCTTCCATTTTGTTCTTCGGTTCTGGAACCAAATCTTTACCTGGGTCTCTGTAAGTTGGAGGGTCAGGGCCAGACTCAGTCGCTCACACACTGACAAGTACCGGCTACTGCGAAATCGGCTCTCAAGAGCTACAAGTTGTTCATAAGTGAAGGCAGTTCGTGCCCTGCGCGGTTTAGTGGTAGATGAGGGAGGCTTGGCTTTCTGATGACCATCCTCTTTCTCTGACCTTTCCTCTGGAGAGCATCCTGCCGCATCTTCTGGTCCAGGAACTGAACCTCTTGATGACAACGTAACATCATCTGCAATGGATACAATACAATTATTTAAATATTGTCACGGTAACAAAATAAAATGAAAATTGGTCAAATCCACCATACTAGCAGTTGAACAAACTGGGTCAGACAATGGAGAGGAAGTATGAAAAATCTAGAGTAGAGCAGATGAAACCCAATGTATTACAGAATCTTGAGGAACCGGGAGACACATAAAACACTAAATATGAAGGAATCTGTAGCAGCAGTTCATAACACCTGGGTTGGGACCCAAAATTGTGTCCCCATGCCAACTCAGTGGGCCCCCAATAGTTGAAACAGTCACATTATATTTAATTTAGAGGTTTAGGAACCTGGTCACTAACTTGTTTACTGTAGTGGCACTGGTAATGCTGATTCTTCTCACATCTAGAAAATGTGTTTTGCTATTTTATTTTTCTTTTTCCCAAAATAGTTTTATTGTGAATGCTTGACATGAATGACATCAACAACTTAGAAGCAACTTAGAAGCAGAAGCATTTAGAAAATTGGGCAGACTAGATGGGCCGAATGGTTCTTATCTGCCGTCACATTCTATGTTTCTATGTTTCAGTCTTGATAGTTAGAAAGAGACATTCAATCAGTTACAGTCACTATTTTGTAGTTTCCGCAACATAAACAAACCAGAACAAAACAAAATAAGATTTACAAAACAAAATAAGTCATTGTTAATAAGTAAGAGGTTGAGCTTGAACAGTTACCAGTAGGAGGTCAGAGGGACATCATAACCACTTAGGTGAGGGTGGCAGTCATATTCAACCACCAATATCGTACCTGAGATACCACTTGCGTGGGTCAGGGACTATTATCTGCTATTGCTCAGGACAATGAAAAACATATTTTGGTTAGGCTATAGCTTGCATTTCGACAGCTAGGAGCAGGAGAAGGTACATCAAAGGAGGTCCATGGTTCAAGTGTCTTCCGTTACACCATTATCATAGCGTGAATTGAAACACCAAACTAAATTAAACGGAACATAGTAAACTAATTGCCGGTTTGCCATAACCCTCTGTCCTCCCACACAATTGTATGAAAGTGCTCGAGAATATGGTGAGAAAAGACCATCAAGTAATTAATGCCAGGAGGTCTCTGACCCGCCACCACCTCAGCTAAAAACCATGCTGTGTATGCCAAAGTGGTTTTCACTTTGGTTTTGAAAGTTTCGTCTAGGGTGATGATCTCCAGGCCAAGAGAAATATTTTGGCTAGGAGTTCTTTGTTAGTTAGTGTGTCCAACCAATCCATTTTAACCCCTTAAGGACCAAACTTCTGGAATAAAAGGGAATCATGACATGTCACACATGTCATGTGTCCTTAAGGGGTTAAAAAGAAAAGCAAGCTTGGTTAGAAATTACTCCAAGGTGGGTGCGTGCAGCTGGTTCCAGACCTGAAGGATGGCTTTGCATCCCACCGCTGCTACAATGAGGAGGAATTGTTTATTAGGCAATGGGAGCCCTGGTAAGGGTCACAAAAGCAAAAATTCAGGGGTTAACGGTTAACGGTTAGGTGGGCATGCCACCTCTATCTAAGTAACAGTTTAGTTGGGTCCAGAAAGATTGGATTAGAGCGCACATCCACAGACTGCTCAATTCTTTTTAATATATAAATTATAAAACATATGAAGAATGGGCAGTCAAACAAATGCCGTATATATAATTTGAGTCCCAGTCATAAAATGATAGGAACCACTGATCTAGATGGACTTGGGGGAGAAGGGAGGGGGGTAATTGTTGGATGAATTACCCGCTTTGAAGTGGTGACTTTTGGGTCAGAGAGAGCTGGAGCTTATGTGCAAATTATTGACAAAGATGTGGGATCGATAGATGATAAGGAAGTAGGAGACCTGATGAAAAAATACACAAGTGGAATGAATTAAGTAATGTTAAATCACGGCTGAGGAAACACGTATCCGAATGAAGCAAATATGTCTGTCACTATGTAACAATACAGTAACACAAGCGGGATCCTTTATTACATCCAAAATCTTATTATTTTGGATAACTACACACTCTTTTACAGAACGTTTGTGTGTTCTCCCCTGTTAAGTCTCCAGAATTCCCAGTTTAGTTGCTGTACTCCTACATTTTAACCTTGGATAAATACTATGTCGCTGGTAAGGAAATCTAAATCATTGCAATTAAAAATGGCATGGCTATTTACTAAACTCCAAATTGTAGCAAATCTAAATCTAAAATAGAAAAGCTGTGATTGTTCCTAAATTGGAGGAAACCTGGGTCAATTGGGATTTAAATTTCTTTCAATTTGCAGTTCAGTAAGTAAGTAATGATGTCAGAATTTGTAACGTCAATGATCATTATAGCAACTAGACATATGCACCAGTGAAATTTTAATTTCGTACGAATTAATTCATACTAAATAAAAATGTAATTCATCCATTCCCAATTTCGTCCGTAAAACAGTCCTTTTTTTTAGACGAAATTCAGTAAAAAATAATTTGTTTTCGCCCGTTAGGACGAAAATAACACTGCGCATGGGCAAAATAAAAGATCAAGGAGGGAGCTGACAGCGCAACCAGCGACTTCCTTGTAATAAATATTAACAATTCAAAGCCCCCACCCCCCCACATTAAAACCTATGGGGGTCATGTGACGAAAGCAATCTCGCCACATTGCATTGGAGAAGCCTGGTTGCTCGCCTGTTGCCTCTGGATTATGGCCCCATGTTAAAAGGCTTGATTTTCCCCTGCAAAGACATGAAAGCCGGGTCATTTGGTGCTTGCCCTGTTTGAGCGGTGATACCCCAGATAGCTATGCCATGGAGCCCATTCGTATAACGAAAGACTATGGGAAAGACTTTGGCTCCATGGCATGGCAATTGAACTGTATGTATGTGATCTGAGCGCCATTCAGTAATAATGTGCGCTCAGATCTGAGCTATCTAGGGACATGTAAGTTATGAATAATGTGGAAAAATTGTATTTCTCTGCTTGTTATAATTACATTACCCATTGTGTAAGGTAATTGAATCACAGGCAGAGGGGAGGATTTTGTGTGGGAGTGTCTGAGTGCATTGTATGTGTTTATTGGTTGTGTTCCAAAACCCTGTGGGTGGTACTAATGTGTATATAAGAACAATAAACCCACAGCTTTGTCTGTTCACTGCTTGACCCTCAACACGGAGCTTTGTCTCGTTCTTCGGGGGATTTATTGTATGCTGTTCCAGTTTGACTGCTAGGAGTGTAAACCTATTCGTATGGTTTTACCTATTCGGCTGTTTACGGCATTCATATGGTTTCCTGTTCGGCGGATTGGTGTTCTGCAGTAGCTGTGCCTGTGTCTCTGGAAGGGGAAGATCTACTAAACGGCTGTTAACCCCTTTTATGCATGGGGGTGCCGTTACAGGTCACAATGACCTCTATATTAATAAAAGGTAGTGTGGAGGCCACACAGATAGGAACACTGGTTTCGCGGCCAAGGATGTCCCAAGAGCATAATTCCAGAGCAGGTATAGCTTTCTCCCACAGACATTAGTCGAGACTGAATGCTGGGAGTGAACTGATTTTATTAAGGGCCACGCACAGCCTTTTATGCATGGACCCCTACATGGGGTTTCCAACACAAAATTACAGGGTCTTTTCTCCCAAGATCCTCTGTGCCTGAGAGATAATTACGTGAGAAAAACTATAACTCAATTATCTCTCAGGTACAGAAAAATCTATAATTTTGACAACACCCCAAAACAGACATATAACAACCAGGTACCCCCTCAAGTCTTATATCCCCGGATAGCCTGGATCTGAACACACAACATTTCCAAAAAGCACTCAGATCCTACAAACTAGTTCCAGGAGAAAAGTGGTGGCGGTCAGTCTCTTTCAGGAGTACGAAAATGAATAAAATACAGAACGTATGCTGTAGCTGGTATGCAGATAGTGTTCACCTAATCTATGCAAATGATTCCACCGAACAGTGACCTTCCAGGATGTAAAGAAACTAACTCAGGCGGGAATGGAAGTTCAGCGGTGTTCACGAGGTCGAGTGTCCGATTTTAGTTCCATGCACTCGATGACCAAACACCACTGTCTGCGTTCGTGCAAACACGTGTTCGTGCATACAAACAGCGGCCAGCCAGCCGACCACCTAGAACACTGAGGTGTGAATCGTTATTAAGGTGTTAACAGGGGTGAACGAGTTTAATAAGCATATGGGTGGTCTGGGTATTTCGTGATTTTGTTTGGTTACCGAACAAAACAGGGGAAAAAGTATGTGAACACGGTATTTACAGAACAAAACAGGGAATGGTAAGGAACAGAGTATTTCAGTGACAGTGTTCTGCCACAGGGAGGTTAAATCTTCCCACATGCCCCTACTCTCAGCATGTCGCAAGTAGGAGCATGTTGCCTAAACATTTAAAACTACTAGTGACTGGGCAGCTATTAAGCAATAAGGGGGGCACAGTCTCAGGCTGCAGGGAGAACCAGCGTTTTTTTTGTTTCTCCTCCATGCTGTGGGAGTTAATTGTCCTGCAGCACGAAGTACACCAGCAGTGAAGTCTCTCAGTGGAGGGAGAGCTAGCAATAGCATTAGCCACCAGTGTGGGGAGATTTAATCTGTGCAGGTCTGCTGGGAGACTCTTACACGCACGGGTTAAGTCTCCTGCTGCAGGGAGATCCAGGTTTTTTTGATTCTCCTCAGTGCTGTGTGTGTTAATTCTCCTGTAGCACAGAGTCTATTCAACGAAAGAACTCAAACGAAAAGGTAATACATTAGGAATTAACCCTTTCGTTTCGTATATAATTCGTATGTAGGACTTTCGTTTATGTTATAGTAAACAAATACGTAAAAGTCAGAAAATTCAGACGAAATCATATTCGTCCGATAACTAATGCACATGCCTAATACCAACATTGTAATGATGCCACATTCGTAAAAGTGCAGTACCATAACAGTGCAGTATATTATGATGCATGTCAGTATAATGAGGGGGCTTATCCCACTTTCCATAGAGGCTGGGGGTACAGTTGTGTATACCCTAACTCAAGAGGACACTGGAGCTTTGAGATTCTAGTTTTCAAATTCTATAATTGAGGTTAAATCTGGATATAAATAAGGGTAGTTACAGCATTCTGAGAGCCTAAGTTAACATTTGTAGTGCCCACCTATTGACACCATTAAGAATAGTGCTATTATGAACTGCACTGTAGTGATTTTATTTTCTAAATTTATTTCTAAATTTCTGAATCTTTTATGAATGCACTGTAATGACACTTGACATTTTGTAATTGTATTCACTAAACAAGAAATTGTGTTAAGCTGAACACTGAATTTATCAAATTAGACTGAAATAGTCAAGCTATGGCGATAGATTAGTTAGAGATTTTTCCATATGCTCCATACTGCCCAAATCATGCTATTCACTTCTCAATTCAGCACAGTTCAGTGTTAATGAGTAACATCATCTATGAGCCAGTCAAGGGTGTGTGGGCTACAATGGCAGTTAGAAAAAAAATTTACATTTGGAATTCGCCTACTTTTCTATATGGCTTCTATTTCAGAATTCTCTTGCTTCCTTTAATAACCCCCTAAATCCACAAGTGGCTGAGATCAGCACACAGTACTCAATACCCAGGTTCCCCTCTTCTACAAACAGCGTGAGACCCATAACCTGCACACCAGAGTCCAGTTAGACCAAGCTCAGACTAACTGATCTTATTATTAGACAGAAATGATTAAGTAGAAATTGCCCGCTTCCCTACACCCTGATGGAGTGACTGGTCGGTGATGAGGATCGATAGCTGTCGTCTTTATATTACAGGGTTCTCTCATCAGGCTTGGAGTCTCTGAGCCTTGTGCACAGAGATATGCAGTCACCAGTAATGGGATATTGATCACTGCCAGGGACAGGACTCCTGCATCTAAACCTCCTTGGCCCTGCATCCCATTGGGGCAGGGTAATAATTACAAAGTCTTCATACCCCACCTATTCAGTGGGCCCAATCTGTGCGTCATCGGCTCTTAAATCCTATAACCCTATCTAGACCTTTCAGGTGTAAGTGCCTATAATTCTGTCTGTGATTAGACAGGTGATAAACGTCAAATACTAAGAATGGATTTTATAAAGCAGTGCTCTGGGTAACACAGCATGGTACTTAACAGGTTAACACAGAATAGAGGCACAAATAGATTCACATGTTTATGTTTTTGTTTTTTTATCACAATATATTAATTTCTATATGCTTTATTTTATATAAATATTTAGAAATATATATTTTTTCATGTGAAGTATTTTTTTTTTTTTTGTATAGAGAACCAACATAATGGAGAACTGTATAATCCTTAATTACCTTTTTATTGAACATTTAAATGGTATATTTTTTTAATAGTAAAGCTGCTACATTAATAATGTTTACATTATTTTTCATATGTTTTAAACTGTTTAATCTAATATTGTAAAGCACTACGGAAATTGTTGGCGCTATATAAATGCCAATAATAATAATAATAATATGGTTAGTCTTTGAACCATTGGGAACATAACCCATGTATTGACATAAAAAGTTGTATTTTTACACAGCGCGACATTGTGAAGGCAGCAATCAAAAACGTGGATTAAAATCTGAAAATGTCTGTTTGTGCTTACAGGTGATGCCAAACACCACATTTCAGAATCCACTTCAACCGGTAGGAGTGTTTAAATCATTTTATGCTCTCACATCAAGTATATATATATATATATATATATAGGATGAACCCTAACATTTTTCCAACTCTGACTGTACCTCAACTTCCTCAGTGTGTGGAATCATCAAACATCATTATGGTTAATGCCAGTGTGAAGTAGTTATAGTCTTATTACTGTGCTTCTTTAAGCAACAGCAATGTTTTAAATGTGTATGGTGTCAATACCTTACTATTTTAGATTGTAAGCTCTTGGGCTATCTAGTTAAGTACTGTATAAAAGGGGTCTAAATGTTAGATCTCATCTCTCCGGCTAGATCCTCTTTTCCTTTTGTGCTAGTTTGTCTATACTCTATTGTCTGTACATTGCTGCAAAACATGCTAGAGATTTATAAATACCAGTAATGATGATAATATTGCTAAATGTGTTTCTGTCATTGCTACCATGGGACAGAATAAAAGGGGTTACATATTACAACGGGATTAAAGCTAAGGTTTTTTTTGTTTTTTTAAATTTAGCTAATTTCCTGCCAGAATATAATAAATCGATAATCTATAATATTAAATTAATTAAGGTACACACCTGAATTTCATGATCCACACATCACTGTCTAATGATTCAATCTGTCCTTGCCAAGATCTATTTCTCCCAATGGGGAAGTTATCTATCAATTAATGGCACATTACAACAGCAGTTTATTGATCTTGTGTTACAATTGCTTTGTTTAAGTGGGGATGTTATCACTGACTAATCTGATGTATCATGTGGTTAAATACGCAACTGATGCTTTATTCCTGGCTACTGATGTCCAACTAATTCATTTCTCCATCGTATTACATGTGTACCAATGCTGATCACTGCTATCCACATTACAGGAGATCCTGTTTAGCTTATCAACTGTTCAGACTACCAGTCCTAACATCCTTGTAGGCAAGCAATATATTTAGCACAACTGATGTTGTAGTAATAAAACAAAGAGCAAAGTTTCTTTACTTAAACATCACTCCCTACCAGCCAAAGTCTATTTTAGACCCTTTGTAAAAATGCTTAACTATGGTCATTTAGATAACAACTGAGTGCAATAATTCTAGGGAAGCATGGCTTATGGCTACACAAACTTTTTGCACTACAGCTATTGTGGTGTGTAGTTTCCCATACACTTTGAAGAACCTATAGTTTGAGGACCAGTATGTGTGCAGTTCTTCAGGAAAGCTTACATTAAAAAGGGAAACATTGTATTACCTGAATCTTCTTCCTCTGACCTGGACTCCTGCTCAGCTTCTCCTACTGCTCTTTGTCCACTGCTCCTGGCATGGTTCAAGATGTCCAAGATGGAGAAAGGAGTGTGGGGGTGTCTCTGTCCTGTGACAACCTTTTCCTCCATCGGGTCACAGTTTAACATCCCCATGAAAAGTCTTTAGGGGTCACACAACTGCTTTGGATACAACCAGGTAACTTGCAGACCTGGTGGATGGTCTACTGTCCATGCAATGTCCTCCTAGATGTTTGAATCATCTGAAAGACCTCCTTAATTAACACAAGAATTGATCTCTGTCCTCTTAATGGCTTATTGGTTTGAAAAGTGCTGCAGAATAAGTTGGCGCTATATAAATGCCAAAAATATTAATAATAATAGGAGCTGCAGGTTAGTTTCTAGATATCAACCTTTTCAGTTTCCTTTCAGCGTCTTCTCCCTTTGATGTGAACTCTGTGTGTGAGCCTAGAGTGGCTGGGCTACTGAACATGCACAAGAGGAGGAGACATTAAAAGAGCAGGAGTAAAGGGGAGGAGAACGTATTAAACTACAAGGACAAAGGCTACAAGACCAGGGGCAGGGAACAGTCTATTGATCTTGTAGTACACGGTCCATTTGATGGTTGTCAGAGGGTCAGTACAAAACTCTTTTATGTCTACATGTGACTGGACATGTTTATTACCTTGTCCTACCAGCCATTCATGTCCCATCTGCTGTCTTTATATGGTTTTACTGTATAAACCGTATGTGTTTGAGGTGGTGGGTAATCTGGGCATCCCTCTGCATGTTAGAAAGACACTGTATCATCACCGCTAAGAGCAAACATTCCACTCTGATTTGAAATGGTTTTGTTTACATTTTTGTTTTGCTTTACATCTAGCTATTGGCACAGATAAATATAGGAATAAACCGAGGTGATTGTATTTGTGAATTTCTATCCAGTAAAACAAAGGACACTAAAATGTATTAGGAGCTTAAATTATAAGGCAGAAGTTAATTATTTGGTGAGTGTTTTTTAGGATCAAATGGATAAAGACCTCTGCAAGATTGCCATAAGATCCAAGTAAATTATCATTTTATTAAACTGTTGTACTTCCCTAAAAGTTCTTTCAGATGTAAAAGATAACTAGCACGTAGTTCTTTAAGATTCTTAGAATAATTAGTTACACAAAGGTTTCTTGCATTTACTTGTAAGATTAAATCATATTTGCACTTTTGCAACTGTATTGTACATAGTATTTAATGTCTCTGCGTGAATAACCTGGTATGAATGGGGTATGAATCATTAAAAGTATCTTTCTGTTGTTTTTCTTGCATTACCTTAACCCCTTAAGGACTGGACTGTTTTTGCGATGTTGTACATTTGCGACCAGGCATATTTTTACACTTTTGTGGTGTTTGTGTTTGGCTGGAATTTTCCGCTCTCTCATTAACTGTTCCCATACAAATTATATATTGTTTTTTTCAGGACAAAAGGGGCTTTCTTTACATACCATTATTTATATAATCTCATGTATTTTAATTTAAAAAAAATAATAAAAATATGATGAAAAATTGAAAAAAATACATGTTTTTTGACTTTTACTTGAAAAATCTTTTACTCATCTACAAAAGCGAATGAAAAAAAACTGCTAAATAGATTCAAAATTTTGTCCTGAGTTTAAAAATACCCCGTGTTTACATGCTTTTTTTTGCATGTTATAGGGCTATAGGTACAAGTAGAATATTGCGGTTTCAAAACATAAATTTTTAAAATTTATCAATAGTGACATTGTAACACTATTATCTGTCATAAATCTCTGAATAACACCCCACATGTACATATTTTTTTTAAAGTAGACAACCCAGGGTATTCAATATGGGGTATGTCCAGTCTTTTTTAGTAGCCACTTAGTCGAAAACACTGGCCAAAGTAAGCATTCATATTTGTTTGTGTGTGAAAAAAGTAAAAAAACTAAATTGAACGCTAATTTTGGCCAGTGTTTGTGACCAAGTGGTTACTAAAAAAAAGACTGGACATACCCCATTTGCAATACCTTGGGTTGTCTTCTTTTGCAAATGGTATGCCATCATGGGGGTAATTCTCATTCCTGGGCTACCATACGCTCTCAAAGGCAACGTGACCAACCTGGCCATTTTCAATGTAAAATATTTGACCCATATATTTGACCTTGTAACTTTCAAAAATGCTATAAAACCTGTACATGGGGGGTACTGTTTTACTCGGGAGACATCGCTGAACACAAATATTAGTGTTTAAAAACTGGAAAATGTATCACAACAATTATATCATCAGTAAAAGTGCTGTTTGTGTGTGAAAAATGCAAAAAAAGTCACTTTCACTGACAATATCATCGCTGTGATATGTTTTACTGTTTTGAATCACTAATATTTGTGTTCAGCGAAGTCTCCCGAGTAAAACAGTACCCCCCATGTACAGGTTTTAGGGTGTCGTAGAACGTTACAGGGTAAAATACAGTGCTAGCAAATTAAATTCTCTGGAATTTCGGCCTGGGTTGGCAGGCAGGTCCCTTAAATTGCAATCAATAAAATTACTGAATTATGTAAAACTATTACATAAATACGCACGTAGAATTTAAATATATATGCATATTTATATATTTGAAGTCTACATGTATATTTATATAATTTTTTATGTAATTTTGTATATGGACATATGTATATTTCTTATTATTTTTATTTATTTTTATATACATAGATATATATACAAATTTATTCTAAGTGTATTTTGATATAAATATATATATATTAATTTTAAAATACAGTTAGAATAAAATTTCATATAGATATAATTTTTTTTTATTTTTTTATTATTATTTTAAATTTTTTTTATTTAATTTAAATTAATTATTTATATTTTATAATAATATATATATACAATATATATAGTTATTATATATATATTATATATATACGTGTGTAATTTAATTATAAGTGTATTTTTATATTAATATAAGTACATATTAATATAAAAATACACTTAGTATGGCATTCTATATATGATATATAGACATATATTATATAGATATATAATATATGTCTATATATCATATATACACATATATAATTTATTTTTATTTTTATAAACACTAACTTTATTTTTTTTTTTGATTTTACACTAGCAGGGAGACTGCCTGTCAGCACAGACAGTCCCCCTGCAGGCAGCACTATGGACACCTATTGTGACCATGTGATCGCTGTGTTAAGCGATCACATGGCCACAGGGGTCCTAAATCAGTGTGGGGAGACTGTCTGGGCTGCAGGCAGTCTCCCACAACCGGAGCAACGCTGATCGCCGCCGGGGGAACGACGGCGATCAGGTAAGTACCCCCAGACCGTTAGGACGGTTCAGGACCGTCATCGGTCCTCAAGGCAAAAATGCCGATGACGGTCCTGAACCGTCCTCGGTCGCTAAGGGGTTAAAGCATGGTTGTAAAGAGGAGCTTAGCACAACCATATAGCTAACTAAAAGTTTTTTTAAATTATTTTTCTGTCTTCAAATATTAGGTAAAGTATTTTTCCTGACGAGGCTGAAATATCGCAGCAGTTCACTTGTCTCTTGCAAAAAAAAGGAAACTATGCAGGTGCACTCATGTAATATCCCACATTAATGGGACACTTCACTGACTAAATACAAAATAAATTTAAAAAAATCAATCTGTAGTAGATATACAACAAATGAAAACTTGCGTGGATTTAATTATGGCTTTTTTTTTTTTTAATTGGGAGTATATCTAAAACATGTTTTCTAATGCAGCTCAATGAGAAGTCTTTGTAAGACAGGTGATCTTGGCATTGTTGCCTCTTGTGTTTAGCTCCACTGAGCTAACCAAACCAGGAAGTAAAATAGCCTGTTGTCCGATCAACTTCTTGGGGGTGTAGCCAGTTTAATTTATAAAAGTGAAAATGTCTATTGAAATCTGCACTTTTTCAAAATGAAAATAATAGTACACACTCTTCACATATAAAGCTTCTCAGCAAGCTGAAGTGGTTAAGGGGACTGGAGTGACCCTTTAAGATAGATAGATACACTCGTAGAAAGTCAAAGGAGCCCAGTACTTTGTATATGTGAGTATGCAGAGGTGTCCCACTTCCCAACTACATATCAAAGACAATCCCACAGTGCTGTGCCCAAAATGTATGCAATCTAGAGGGTGACTAAAAATAATATCGTGGGGGGCTAACAAAATTGGATAAGAATTTAATTGGAATTTGGGTGGAACAAGAAAGACTTCCGAAGGAGGCAGCAAAGACAAGAGAAGGTAAAGAGCAATGGAAAAGTAGAAAAGATAACAATGGTGTAGATATGTTAGAAACATGAGGACTGTGGGTTATAGACTATGAGACTAAAGAAACTTAGGTTTAAGAGATTCATGGAAAGAGGACAAGAGATGTAAGGACTGAGTGACCAAGAGTCTGAGCATAAGAGACCTGTAGTTTAGAAATAGATTGGATCCTCAGCAAGATAGAAGTCAGCTCCTAACAAAGGCACAGTGGGAGGGATAGAAAAAGCATATTATCCGAATTTAGAGTGGCTTAACACTTAGGACAGAAACATGAAACTGAATATGAAGCAGAACTAACTCTATAACTACTTAATATCAGGCCAGATAAACTAACCAAGGACAAATCTAAACCAAGCGATACAAAAATGCAAATCAGAGTCACAGCTAGCTGTGTCAAGGATACCAGAGGACATAAAAAGGTCAAAAACTAAGCTGAGTAAAAAAAAAAAAAAAAAAAAAAAGAGAGAATAATCGAAAAGACTGAAAAAATAACATGCTTATAAAGGAGCACTATGGTGCCAGGAAAACAAACTCATTTTCCTGTCACTATAGGGTTATTAGGTCCCCCCCTCCCTCAGGACCCCCTCCCGCTGGGCTGTCATTCAACTTAATCCAGCGCTTATAGATGTCAGCGTGTCCTCAATGCAATTTTCGCATTGAGGATCGCGGAAGCGGCCTCTAGTGGCTGTCAGGGAGACTGCCACTAGAGGCTGGATTAATCCTCAATGTAAACATAGCAGTTTCTCTGAAACAGCTATGTTTACAGCTGCAGGGTTAAAAATAGGGGGACCTGGCACCCAGACCACTTCATTGAGCTGAAGT